TTGCTACCCGCCCCATTCCCCCTTGCTACCCGCCTCAATCTCCCTTGCTACCCGTCTCAATCCCCACTTCATACCCGCCTCACTCCCCCTTTGCTATCAGCCTCATCCCCCTTCGCTCACCCTGTCATTCTCATTCCAGTCGCGTTCCACCAAGCTCCCCGCCCCATTACTAGCTTAGACCCGCCTCATGCCCCACCTCTAACCTCCACCATCGTCTTTCCCCGAAAAAACACAGACCACTTCCTCAAATCGCGACGGTACTGACGGCGCCATTTGAGTGGCGTACCGACAAGCTCACACGCAGGGAGGTTACGGAAACCATCCTCGACCAATGTGTGCATCACACGCATCGCGAACACACCACAGTCGTTCTCATTGTCCTGCATTGGAATCTGAAGACACACAGGGTCAATTATGGCAGTGTAAGGCCCGTCCGAAATTGGGGGTTGGTGGAGGAAATCGCGTTGCGAGAAAAAGAGATGCATGGGCTCGGAGCTCGTACAAACAAGCCAATTTCGCTCACCTTGACGTGCCGTAGCGGGATGCTCGCAGCCCATGCATCAGCGTCCGAATCAATGATCCACGAACAGCATTTTACGACCTCGTTTCGTAAATACCTGCATATCGGATGATGGTTCTTCAATTATTTAGTTACCCCGTTTTGAGTTACGAGACAACAGCATACTGCCATTTGAGAGCGAATACCTGCGCAACGGAGCGTCAACACCGTCATGGGTACCGTTCGAGTCAGCGTGCCATAGCACGCAGTTCATGGGAATCGTGTCGTCGGGTCTCGGGATTCTCTCGATGACGATCAAGCTCCAATGACTCCTAATGCGCAAACGAGGACTAGCATCATTAAAAACGACATTATCATTGCGAATTATTTCTGGTGCAACGGCACGACGCGGCGAGAACTTACTCGGTATTGATCGGAACTAGAACATGTGTGAATTCGAATATTCCCAATCCGAAAGTGTAGGCGTTCTCAGGCCTCGGTGTGTCCTTCCGAGCGTAGTCCCAGAAATAGGATCCACCGTAAAGCCACTTTGTGCGGTTGCGACCGTGTTCGTACTGCAGCATCCTGCGAGTGCGCAGATTAACGCCAAAATAATAGCATGAGAGAACCGTGTCGTCACTGTGTAATGAGTCTATATTCGTGATACTCACACACCGAGCCAATCAATCACGATTCCGCTGACCCATTCACCGGGTCGTAGCCTATTGGCGTGGTCTACGGTTATGTCGAGCCAGCCTCCGCCGTAGGGAAAGGGCATGGAGATCGGCTGAAAGGCTAGTTTACTATCTAAGCTTGGAAGAGCCATGGCTGAATGTTCCTGACTTCGAGTTGCGAGTGGCACTGGGGAAATTATGAGGAAGCAGCACCACTTCTGAATCTGTGCTTTGGAGCCACGCTACTATGGGTCACGAGTTGCTTTGCAGGTTGTTGCCACATTCGTTAATTTTCGCTACTCGTACCCTAACCTACCTGAACCTGGAAGATGTCGCAATCGCATGGACGACATTCGCCAGAGGGCCCCACTTGTCGGGGCTCTTTGGCAATGGTGTCTGGTTCCCCATCTGCTGACATCACAGATACATCCCCCTTAACAGGGGGAGAGCCAATCAAAACATCGGAACGACGAGGTGGAACACCTTCTCGGGGCTAGCGATTCCACGCGTCAGACTCTCACCGGTAACTTGGTGGCTGTTGTGAATGTGTCCTTTTTCCCCGATTTGGGCACGCACCATCCCTAATAATGTTACGGCGCGCAGAGGTCCGTCCACTCCACACATGCACTCTCCCATCTTCTGGGCGCAGTAGTGGATGCCCGTTAGATGAAATCTAACGGTGAAGACAGAATGAAATCCTCCAGCTGTTTAGGGTTCCCATCTGACAGCCTAACACGTTTGTTGCACGAAGCAGCGTGATTGGTGCATGCGTGTAGGGCTGTCAGAATTAATCCCTGGAAGAATCGGAGCCAGGCCCCTGGAATTCATAGAGTTTTTCCCTTGCTCGACCTGTTGTTCAGTGTGGTTTTGTCACTTCCCGCTCCGTGAAATTGAGTTTGACGTTCATGTTACTCTCAGGACCTTGACATGAGTAAAATCGTACCCTATAATTCAGTATAAGAGAGTGTCGTCAGCCCTAATGTTTTCGCATGTAGGACATTCCAACACTGCTAGGGCTCTTCTTGCTCTCGAATTTTGACTAAGTCTCTGGCATCTGGCTTGGGCACTGGAACTCTCGGAATGCGGACAAGAATATGGAAATATACTCGAAATGTGGTACTATTGCCCTGCCCATGCGTCCACTGCTTCCTCGCATGTCCACCCCTGTCATGCGTCTGCTGCTCCGCCTTAGACATCCTCCAGTCAAGCCGTTACTGCTGCTTGCTTTGTCCTATCCGGTCATGCCTATACTGCTGCGGCCCTTGCACCACTCCCCTCCGTAATGCTGTCCCCCTTTCTCGTGGGAACATGTGGGGCATTGGCAGGCCAATCTGGTCGGTCGAAGGAAAACGGGAAACGGTAAGAGAGAAACAGTGACCAGGGAAGGGGGTTGGGGGTGTAACCCCCCCAAAATCATGCAATACAAGGCATTGTGCGATGGAATACTCACTTGGGCAGTAGGTGCCCCAAAGATCGCACTTCAATTCCACGTCGATGTGTAACTCTGATGCACGCAGCCCACTAACTGCCACCCCCAGGGCCTCGAGCACCATCACAAAAATCATGCGTCCAGAAAACCTTTGGAAAGAGTTGCTTTAAAGCTTTGTTGAATGATTTATAAACTTCTTGTTTGGTACGCTATTTTGAGAAAGTATATACCTTTTTCTGGATGCTTTGTCGAACGCTGTTCACATGCTTCTGCGATGCTTCTCTGTTCAAACCTCTCAGGTGAAAACCTTCGGCAGAAGTTTGGTTGGAGTTTCCGCAGAGCAATTTCGGAGATTGGATCTCATTGCATTGTACTCTTCAAGGACATCCGGTTTAGTTATAATGAAGTTGGATTGGAGACTTGCAATGGTTAACATGTTGTTTAACAAGATGTTTAGTTGCCTCATCCTAGCATCCAAAATGACCATTACAGAAGCGTTGGTAAATGGGTTCTATTCTCAACAAAAAAGGCACATACAACAGCATCCTACACCCCACCCTCTCTAGTCAAAGACCCCCGCCAGTTAGGGTGATCTGCATCAACCTGCTTCTCATGCTCCCGTAAACTATGCCTCCCACTACACCCCATGTCTCGTGCTCTAGGCCGAGCATGCTCGCCCCTACACCTAGCCCCCATGATCCATGCCTTGGCTGCGACCCCACTTCCTGCCTCTCTTCCTGCATCTCCCATCCCTCCTTCACTAATTGTGGTACTATTGCCCTGCCCATGCGTCCACTGCTTCCTCACATGTCCAGCCCTGTCATGCGTCTGCTGCTCCGCCTTAGACATCCTCCAGTCAAGCCGTTACTGCTGCTTGCTTTGTCCTATCCGGTCATGCCTATACTGCTGCGGCCCTTGCACCACTCCCCTCCGTAATGCTGTCCCCCTTTCTCTATCCACACGTGCCTTCCCTGATGCCCCCCTTGCTGTCTCCACCAATGCCTCTCCTCGCACGTATGTGATGCCTCTCCTGCTGTCCCCTTTTGTAAACTCCACGCATGCCTCATCTGCAGCCCCCCTTGTCTCGTCACACCATCATTTGGCCCTCTTGCCTCCCCTTCTTTTGCCATTTTCGTGCCTTTTGCCCTTCCTCCGCTCCTGGCCCCCCTGCTTCTCATCCTCATCCTCATCCTCTTCCTCCTCTTTCTCCTCTTCCTCCTCTTCCTCCTCTTCCACTTCCCTCCAACTTCCCTTGCCTCTGCCTCTCTTGTGCTTTCTACCCTTCCTCCGCGACTGCCCCCCCTGTTTCTCATCCTCCTGCTCCTCCTCTTCCTCATCTTCCTCCACTTCCTCTTCCCTCCTGCTTCCCTGCCCTCTGCCTCTCTTGTGCTTCCTGCCCTTCTTCCGCTCCTGCCCCCCCTGTTTCTTATCCCCCAGCTCCTCTTCCTTCTCCTCTTCCTCGTCCGCTTCCCTCCTGCCTTCCCTGGTTTTCCCTCCCTTGTGCCTTCTGCCCTTCCTAAGCTCTTGCCCCCCCCGTTTCTCATCCTCTTCCTCATCCCTCCCGCCTGCCCTAGGTCTCTTGTGCCTTTTCCTCTTCCTCCGCTCCTGCCCCCACTGTTCCTCGTCCTCCTCCTCCTCCTCCTCCTCCTCCTCGTCCTCCTCCTCGTCATCCTCCTCCTCCTCCTCCTCCTCCTCATCCTCCTCCTCCTTATCCTCCTCCATGTCCTCCGAGTTGTACACCTCCTTTTCTTCCTCCTTCAGGTCCTTCGTTTTGGCATCAAGCTCAGCCTTCCCCCGGAAGGCCTCAAATCCTGACTCGTGAACATACAGCCCACGGTCGCCCCACTTGAAGTCCTTCATGTCTGTGTTGTACACAGGGGTGTGGCGTGTGAAGTGGTCCTTGATAATCCACCGCACATTACGGTGCAAACCCCCCATCCATTCACTGTTCTTCCGGTGGGAGTTGGAGACGTTCCAGTCAGTCCTCTTAACCTTTGATAAGCCCTGGTCAATCTGAAAAGGCATAGCACAGTATGGGATGGAGGAAAAACAGCAACTTCAGTGGACACTCGCGTGCAGAGTTTAGAGGCTGCGCTAAATGCCCCACATACCATGCCGAGGGACTATAAAACAGCATGCCAAGCTAGAGCATACCATGGGTTGAGCAATAATTGCGTACCACCATGATTGACCAGGCAATGTGGTGTGCTTTGACGCACACCCGGCGCCCGACACAGAAATTCCGAAATGCTTCCCGGACTGCATCTACAAACCGGCCGTCGGCAAACGGGAGCCCGTCTCTGTTGTTTCCCCACGAGCTGACCCGTTGTTTCCCTCCTGCGCGCATGTATGACAATGCGGGGAAGCATGAGACATCCGTGATCATGCATGACATGGTTTAGGGTTGTCCAAAGGGTATGGATGAACATCGAGGGCGGGGGGGAATGAATGGCGAGAGGGCGGGAGAGCAGGGGTGGGCGGGAGATAGGGGGAGGGCGGGAGAGAAGGGGAGGGCGGGAGAGAAGGGGAGGGCGGTAGAGGAAGGGAGGGCGGGAGAGAAGGGGGTGGCGGGAGAGAAGAGGAGGGCGGGAGTTAAACGGGGGGCGGGAGAAGGGGAGTGTGGGAGAAGAACCAACGGATGGCTGTCATGCGGATGTGTTTGCACATGCGCTACAAGCTTGGGCGAGGAGAGCAGGTATGTAGTCGCGTGCCAAAGTGGGGATGCATTGGGGGTATGTGCTTCATCAACGTGGGGCATGCACGAGGGGTGCATGAGAAGACATGTCAATAGGGGATGGAAAACAGTCACGCAAGTACTCACTCGGTTGGTATTTTTTCCACATCTTCCGCTTCTTCTTGGTGCCCATCCACAGTTCGGCTGCACGCAGGCCTTCCACCTTCTTGCTGAAAGTGACGAGCACTCTGCGCTTGAGGTGGAAGCCACGTTCGTTCTTCCATGACGTCCAGGCGCGTTTAAAAGCGCCTATGATGTTTTTGTCTTCCATAGCCTCTCGCAGCTGCATCATGTTGATGATGTGCGTCTCGCTGATAACCTCATACAACATCTGCACGCGCTGTTCGAGCGTTGGGTAGAAGTCTATGGCATGGTCTGGCGCCTCGAGGCACATCCGGTCCCGCCCCTCTGCGAAATGAACCTACGACAGCCGGATGGATAGGAAAAAAGGATATGTGGGTGACTCCCAAAGAAGGGCGGAAACCAGAGGTCGAGAGAGTGGGATTTGGGTAACACGTGCCGCAGGCCACCCACACCACCAGCAGCACCATGAACAGGGACTCTGGTTGAGGTAGGGGAGAGCAGGGAGATAGAGGGGGGAGAGAGGGGATGAACTAGTCTGAGTGAAATCATATGGGAGAGGGAGCAGAGTGTGAGAGCACCGTACGGACTGCGTAAGGGGTCATGTTCTCCTCGTACTAAGAGTCACAACCCCCGCTGCAGCCCGGCCCGCTACACGCTGCGCCGCATGCCACACACGCGACCAGAAGCACCGTTTAGAGGGGCTCTGGAAGAGGAGGGAGAAGGGTGGGATAGAGAAGGGGGGGGGAGGAGCAAGCGGAAAGAAGGGATTGGGCACGTGGGGATGACAGAGAGGGCTGTTGCTATCTCTGCGCCGCATGCCACCCACACCAGACCAGCAGCACCGTTTAGAGGGGCTCTGGAAGAGGAGGGAGAGGGGTGGGATAGAGAGGGGGGGGGGGGGGGGAGCAAGCGGAAAGAAGGGATTGGGCGTGTGGGGATGACAGAGAGGGCTGCTGCTATCTCTGCGCCGCATGCCACCCACACCAGACCAGCAGCACCGTTTAGAGGGGCTCTGGAAGAGGAGGGAGAGGGGTGGGATAGAGAGGGGGGGGGAGGAGCAAGCGGAAAGAAGGGATTGGGCGCGTGGGGATGACAGAGAGGGCTGCTGCTATCTCTGCGCCGCATGCCACCCACACCAGACCAGCAGCACCGTTTAGAGGGGCTCTGGAAGAGGAGGGAGAGGGGTGGGATAGAGAGGGGGGGGAGGAGCAAGCGGAAAGAAGGGATTGGGCACGTGGGGATGACAGAGAGGGCTGCTGCTATCTCTGCGCCGCATGCCACCCACACCAGACCAGCAGCACCGTTTAGAGGGGCTCTGGAAGAGGAGGGGGAGGGTTGGGATAGAGAGGGGGGGGGGGGGGGGGGGGGGGGGAGCAAGCGGAAAGAAGGGATTGGGCGCGTAGGGATGACAGAGAGGGCTGCTGCTATCTCTGCGCCGCATGCCACCCATACCAGCCAAGCAGCGCCATGAACAGGGGCTCTGGAAGAGGAGGTGGAGTGACGGGAGAGAAGGGGGGGGGGAGGAAATAGAACAGTTATGGTGAGCTCGCAGAGGTGGGGCAGAGTGTGAGAGTATCGTACGCCCAGCACCAGCGTCCCTGAAGCGGGGCGTACTGGGAGTGCCTATCACACCGCAGCCAGGCCGCTATCACTGCGCATAATGGTACAAACACTCTGACCAGCATAAAGAGGTGGGGGAAACGAGGTGTTGAGAGAGAGAGCTGCAGCTATCACTGAGCCCCATGCCACACATTGCTTAACACTTAAACATACCCACCTTCAGCAGCTTGGGCTTGGGCATCCCACGCGTTCGACGGACCGGTACGTCTACCGTCGATGGGCTTTCTGGCGCCACGCCTAGATCGAGGCCCACTGCAGATGGGCCGCTCGACAGAGACGCAATAGGAGGAGGCCTAGACGGAGGGGTGCAGGGTTTGACAGGTCCTTTGGCTCCTGGCCTTGCCTTGAGTGCCGCAATTTCGCGATCCCGCTGGGCAAGCTCCCGCATGAGCTGCTCCACCGTCTTGCCGCCAGCCACGTTGGGCCGACTGGATGCGCCAGGTGTGCCCATGCTCTCGCCCCTCCCCTCCTTAGTCGCCGGATCCATTTTCAAGTCTCCTCCTTCTCCCCTGCTATCCCGTACATCCCACATGGAGCCTTCCACACCGCCGCCACATTCACCCAAGGAATTCGCCCACACACCTCCTCCCACACCGTCATTGGCTGCTGCGGCGGCCGAGGGTTCGTGCCGCTTCGTTGCTCCCTCGATTTTCACCTGAACCGCGTGACCCCCCGAAAGCTTTGCATGCGGGTCCGGCGCTTCCCTGCCAAACCGCGCTGACCCCCAAGCGATCGGATCTCCCTTCCCAGACGAATCCATCTGCTCGCGTAACGCAGCATACGTGTCGGTGGCTTTCCGATCATGAGGGCTTGATGGACATCGTAGCCCCATGGACTCGTAAAAATCCAACTCCCGCTTCTCCTTGCTACGCACACCCACAATTTTAGCTTCGAATCGAGGTCTCTGGCGCTTGCCATGTGGTTTGGCACGACGCACACTCTGCTTATAGCTCTTCACCCGTCCTGTCTCCGATTTTCGCTTTCCATTGCCCTTCTTGGTCTTCCGCACACCCCTCCTCTTCAAAGGCCGAGCCTCCTCCTTATCCTCGCTCTCCGGCTCCAACTCCTCATCCTCCTCTTCCTCTTCCTCCTCCTCCTCGTCCTCGTATACTTCCTCACTCCCGGATGAGCTGCCTGACTCACTATCGCTGGATCCCTCCTCCGAACCCGACGAGCTCGAAACATACTGTTTCGTCCCTTGTCGAGCTTGTCTCGCATTTCGGTCGCGACCGGCCGAGTCCACAGCATTGCGTCGTTTGTACGGAATCACAGCTTCACGTCCATGTTCTTTCCCAGCAGTCACTGCTGCAGGCTTGTCCTCATCGTGATCGATACCGCCACCACCTCGCTGCTCTGCTAGCCCTGCAGCGAGAGGGATATGAGAGAGACAATCTCGGTGTCACGTCACTCACGACATAGTTGCTGGTGCAACAGGTAACAATATACAAGGAGGGTGGCAGCGAAGGCTATGCAACCTCAAAATCAACGACAAAAGTAGCCAGGAACCGCCAACCTTCTATAACGGGCCTGGGCAGCGCCTGCTCGTCGCCACCAGCCACATCCAGCGAGAGCCTCCCTGAGGGACTGCCCTTGGCCGCCGCCGCCGCCGCCTTCTCGTTGTTGCGCTTTCCACCACCACGCCCTTCAAGCTCGCCATGTTCCTGCTCGTCGCCACCAGCCACCTCCTGCGAGAGCCTCCCCGAGGGACTGCCCTTTGCCGCCGCCGCCTTCGTGTTGTTTCGCTTTCCACCACTACGCCCTTCAAGCTCGCCATGTTCCTGCTTGTCGCCACCAGCCACGTCCTTCGAGAGCCTCCCCGAGGGACTGCCCTTGGCCGCCGCCGCCGCCTTCGCGTTGTTGCGCTTTCCACCACCACGCCCTTCAAGCTCACCATGTTCCTGCTCGTCGCCACGCGCAGACATTCCTAGGCGGCCAGATGGACTGCCAGGATACTCCGCAGCCCTCCCGCTACGGTCATAACATCTACCGCGTTGTCTTGCACGCCTGCCTGCTGACGGAGCTGCGAGGGCGGACATCACAAGAACATTAGCAGTCCAGTGCGCGCTAACCTTAATTGCACAAAGTGGCATCAGTATGATCAGTCGATGCAGGGAGTAACGTGCTACTTAGAAACCGGCGATATTACACAAACACGCACCTTCTTTGACGGGTCCGCCGTCCTCGACCTCCTCGTCGCCTTCAGACGCAGCATGTGAAGTAGTGCCTCTCTTTTGTTGACGGCGCTTACGCCCCTTTCGGTTGTCATGCTTGTCCTCTGACAATGTTACGGGGGAGCACAATCGGAGCTTCAGTAACGGGAACAAGTCAAACACGACGGCAAACCGCACTTACTGGATCGGTCGGAGGTAATTAATCATGCAAGTCTACCTTTCAGCAGATGGTACCAAAGACACGTACCTTTCTGGCCGGCTTTGGGACCGATGTCATCTAAGCGCCTCACGCGCCTCTCCCTTGGTTTTGGAGGGGAGGACACGCCCTTGTTAGCGTATGGCCCAACATCGCCGTCGCTATTTGATTCGTCACCAGATGAAGAGTCACGTCCTGACTCAACGTTATCACGCACCGACGACGCATTGTACTTGCGGTACTCGTTAACGATCTCGGCCATTTTATCTACTGTAACTAACTCCATATAAAATTTTTTCCTCCAGCAATTTCGACGAGTCTGCCAAAACGATCGCCCCATCGGGCCCCTTAATCGTCTGACTATCCATTGCAATGTCTAGGTTTCCATTCACGCAGTAGTCTGAGGTGTGGGTTAGTTATGACGTTGCAACCTGACAGCTACGCTTCGCGCACTAAAAAATTGTTGAGCATAGAAGGGACGAGGATCAGACAGGGGCCTGGAGCAGATGACCGACCCACAAGCAGGCACGCAAGAGGAGCACGGAGGTGACGAGGGTTTGAGTGTTTCCTGCTCTGTTCCACCTTGCGACATCCAGGTCCCTCGTTTCCCCCAACAACCAATCACACGGTGGTTAACGTGCATCCATAAAAAAATTGCGGCTCCAATGGGGCATGATTCAGTGGGAGTGGGCGTTTATCTGTCCATTAGCGGCAGGGAGCGATACAAAATGTTGCTAGTGCTTAAACGTGCGCTAGTGTATTAGGGCTCACGAAATATATCTATTCTGCCCGCACAGACTTTATGTGGCGAATTTTCATAGTCTTTCACGCGTGCCGCACGAAGCTTGGCGCAGGCGTCACGTCAATAGTAAAATCGCCACTTCGGAGAAACGGGGACGAACCATTGGCGCAGTTCGTACAGCGATGCGACAGTCTGATACGAAGCCGTTATGGAACACCTGCGATAAGAACGCATGCTCGGGAGTTAGTTGTGAGTGGTGGCGATTGGGTCGCAAGTCGGAGAGAACAACGTTCGTGGCAATGAACTGAGGTAAGTGGTATGGTGCACGGGGGGCACAAAATGACACATTTATTTGCAAGGCTGCAATACAGTGTTGAAAGAACATATAAATCATTACTACCAAAGGAATGTTGAGCTGTCCAATACCGTACGTTTACTCACAAGTATGAGCACCGACAGTGCATAACCAGACACATCCTTCACGGACCAACTGTCAAATTGTTTAAGGAGAGCAGTGACCCTGTTACCTTGATTGTTGTTTAAATATGGTCTAGGTAAATAATATATTGGTGTCGCAACAAGGTAGCTACTGGTATGTCATTTGTGGTGCAACATTACCAGTGCCATACACAAACAGTTGGGCTGAAAAGCCCTTAGGATCTTTGCAAGGGTGAACTCTGGGTAGACTTGGTGTAGTAGCGGAAGCGTTAATTAAAGTGTTGTGAACCACCTTGCGCTAGTATGTGAGGGCAAAGTAAGTTGATTAAAGCAAAGAGATACAAGATTATATAAGAGTACAAGGAATACGAAGAGATACGGTTGCAACTACTTTACTGTTGCTGTTGCGGTTCGATACAGTGACGACTCGGGCAACTGCTCTGCAGCGAGTCAGTTGTGTGTCCTTGCTGTCGCGCTGTACTTGTCAGGTCAAAGGTCGCTGACCTTTGACCTTCGCGTAACCTCCGACAGTTACTTCAACCTCCGAGGGTTGACTCGCTGGTGCTTCGATACCGTAGTGTTTTGCTTCGTTTGTGTCTTGGTGTTTCGACACGACACAGGCGCTTAGGACCGATTGTTTCCAACACAAACTCCCATCATGGGGCGTGTCTGCACTCTTGTCCTGTAGGGCAGCTATAGTGCATAAATCAATTGCTTGATATGTTGTATGTTCTTATTTCATGCTTGACAGGAGGTGACAAACACTTGCTGTTTGGTCATGTGAGTGATGGGGACTGTTTCGAAGCCTCACCCACGCGTTCTGTGACTTGCTTGTTGGCTTGTCACGATGGACTGGACGGTGGGACAAATAGATCCTCCTTATAGGTCTTGTTTGACAACATAGGCCCAATAAGTTCACCCTATGCTGAGACCTGCTACCCGCCTCATCCCCTCCTGCTCCCTGCTACCTGCCTATGCCTCATTCCCCCTTGCTACCAGCCTCATTCCCCCTTGCTACCTGCCTCGTTCCCCCTTGCTACCTGCCTCATTCCCCCTTGCTATCCACCTCATGCCCCCTTGCTACCCTGCTCATTCCCCCTTGCTACTTGCCTCGTTCCCCCTTGCTACCTGCCTCATTCCCCCATGCTACCAAACTCATTCCCGATTGCTACCCGCCTCATTCCCCCATGCTACATGCCTCATTCCCCCATGATACCCGCCTCAATCTCCCTTCCTACCCGCCTCAATCCCCACTTCATACACGTCCCATTCTCCCTTGCTAACCACCTCATTCTCACATGCTACCCGCCTCATTCCCCCATGCTACCCGCCCCATTCCCCCTTGCTACCTGCCTCATTCCCCCTTGCTACCTGCCTCATTCCCCCATGCTTCCCGCCCCATTCCCCCTTGCTACCCGCCTCAATCTCCACTTCATACACGGCCCATTCTCCCTTGCTAACCACCTCATTCCCCCTTGCTAACCACCTCATTCCCCCTTGCTACCCGCCCCATTCCCCCTTGCTACCCGCCTCATTCCCCCTTGCTACTTGCCTCATTCCCCCATGCTTCCCGCCCCATTCCCCCTTGCTACCCGCCTCAATCTCCCTTGCTACCCGCCTCAATCCCCACTTCATACCCGCCCCATTCTCCCTTGCTAACCACCTCATTCCCCCTTGCTACCCGCCTCATTCCCCCTTGCTACCCGCCCCATCCCCCCTTGCTACCCGCCTCATTCCCCCTTGCTACTTGCCTCATTCCCCCATGCTTCCCGCCTCATTCCCCCTTGCTACCCGCCCCATTCCCCCTTGCTACCCGCCTCATTCCCCCTTGCTATCTGCCTCATTCCCCCATGCTTCCCGCCTCATTCCCCCTTGCTATCTGCCTCATTCCCCCTTGCTACCCGCCCCATTCCCCCTTGCTACCCGCCTCAATCTCCCTTGCTACCCGTCTCAATCCCCACTTCATACCCGCCTCACTCCCCCTTTGCTATCAGCCTCATCCCCCTTCGCTCACCCTGTCATTCTCATTCCAGTCGCGTTCCACCAAGCTCCCCGCCCCATTACTAGCTTAGACCCGCCTCATGCCCCACCTCTAACCTCCACCATCGTCTTTCCCCGAAAAAACACAGACCACTTCCTCAAATCGCGACGGTACTGACGGCGCCATTTGAGTGGCGTACCGACAAGCTCACACGCAGGGAGGTTACGGAAACCATCCTCGACCAATGTGTGCATCACACGCATCGCGAACACACCACAGTCGTTCTCATTGTCCTGCATTGGAATCTGAAGACACACAGGGTCAATTATGGCAGTGTAAGGCCCGTCCGAAATTGGGGGTTGGTGGAGGAAATCGCGTTGCGAGAAAAAGAGATGCATGGGCTCGGAGCTCGTACAAACAAGCCAATTTCGCTCACCTTGACGTGCCGTAGCGGGATGCTCGCAGCCCATGCATCAGCGTCCGAATTAATGATCCCTAAACAGCATTTTACGACCTCGTTTCGTAAATACCTGCATATCGGATGATGGTTCTTCAATTATTTAGTTACCCCGTTTTGAGTTACGAGACAACAGCATACTGCCATTTGAGAGCGAATACCTGCGCAACGGAGCGTCAACACCGTCATGGGTACCGTTCGAGTCAGCGTGCCATAGCACGCAGTTCATGGGAATCGTGTCGTCGGGTCTCGGGATTCTCTCGATGACGATCAAGCTCCAATGACTCCTAATGCGCAAACGAGGACTAGCATCATTAAAAACGACATTATCATTGCGAATTATTTCTGGTGCAACGGCACGACGCGGCGAGAACTTACTCGGTATTGATCGGAACTAGAACATGTGTGAATTCGAATATTCCCAATCCGAAAGTGTAGGCGTTCTCAGGCCTCGGTGTGTCCTTCCGAGCGTAGTCCCAGAAATAGGATCCACCGTAAAGCCACTTTGTGCGGTTGCGACCGTGTTCGTACTGCAGCATCCTGCGAGTGCGCAGATTAACGCCAAAATAATAGCATGAGAGAACCGTGTCGTCACTGTGTAATGAGTCTATATTCGTGATACTCACACACCGAGCCAATCAATCACGATTCCGCTGACCCATTCACCGGGTCGTAGCCTATTGGCGTGGTCTACGGTTATGTCGAGCCAGCCTCCGCCGTAGGGAAAGGGCATGGAGATCGGCTGAAAGGCTAGTTTACTATCTAAGCTTGGAAGAGCCATGGCTGAATGTTCCTGACTTCGAGTTGCGAGTGGCACTGGGGAAATTATGAGGAAGCAGCACCACTTCTGAATCTGTGCTTTGGAGCCACGCTACTATGGGTCACGAGTTGCTTTGCAGGTTGTTGCCACATTCGTTAATTTTCGCTACTCGTACCC